TAAGGGCACCAGAATTTATTCTTCCTGTAACTTTGTACCAATCTGCCAACCATTCCCTGCCCCTCTTCCCTTTCCCTGACTCTGGTGATCACTGTTTCTGCTCTCTCTCTCTTTTTTTTCTCTCTTTCTCTCTTTTATTTTCTCTCTTTCTCTCTCTCTTTTTGATTTATTTTTTTTTAATTGACCCATGAAAATTGTGTATATTTATGGAGTAGTGTGGTTTTGGGTACATTTGTACCGTGTGCAGTGATCATATCAGGGTGCTTAGTTTATCCATCACCTCAAACATCTGTCACTTCTGTCCATCATTTTCAGATTTCTCAAGTCAGAGGAACTCTCTTTCACTCTTTCTTCTCCTTTGAGGCATACTTGGCATTGGGTGTCCAGAGAAATGTCCCTGTAGGGTTGTTTGAAGGTCAGCTGGAATAGAAATTGGGCCTCCCCCTTAACAGTGTGGGGAGCAGCCAGGTCAGGAGAGGGCTGCTGAGAGTACCTGGAGCCGGAGGACTGTTTTAGACTCATACATTTTGAGGCTTTTCAAATTCGGCTTAAATAGCCAATATATACCACTGTCCCTTCTGAAGCTTTATCATCTACATATGCTTTCACTTTCCTAGTGGCTATCTTGGCCCTGGTGGCATTGGAGATTTTGGGAAATATCCAAATTGCACTGGAGGAGCTGCTGGGTACATTGACCGCTTGCTTCTGGGAGATGACCACCTGTACCAGCATCCTTCTTCTACTGTGAGTGAGACTGCCTTTTACTTGGACCTGGAAGCTTAGGGTCTCTGAAGTGAAGGGAAATAGAAGGAGCTGGTCAACTTTAAACTGTTCCATTTAATAAAATATGAGGGGAACTCATTTTTATTTGAAAAGTTGGCTTAGTGACTATCATGTTCATTATGTGGGGATATGTAAACATTATTTTGGATTTTAAAGTGGGAGTGCATTAAGTAAGATGAGTAGCATAGTGCTTCTGTGTATGTCGCAGTTCAGATTTCCTGGCAGCACACTCTGAGACAGATTCATATGCAGGAAGTTTATTAGGGATCTTTGTTGGGTCAGCACCTCCTGGGGAGTGGAGGAAGCGGGACTGGACAGGGGGATGTTGAGCTGCACCGTGTTCCCAGCAAAGGCCCAGCTGACCTCATGGGAATCTAGGGTGGCACTTCAGAGTTGTTCTGAATTGGGGTGAGGGATTGGGCCATTTATACCCCTGGTTGGATGTGGACTGCCCCTGGTAAGGGGGTGACTCCTGGAGATACAGCTCTCTTTAGTGAAGGACAAATCCAGAAGAGGGACTTGGCTTTTGACCGTTAATACTTCTAGCAACTGGGGGATGAATGCTTCAGTCCTGAAAGGACTGGGGAATCTGAGTGGTGCACTCCTGCATCTGCTACACTGTACATTTCCAGATTTCTACAGTTTCTACAATAACATTTACTTTTCAGTAAAAAATTACAAATGTATTTTTAAATGTTATTTGCCTTAAAAGAAGATAGGAAGCTGTCAATGTTACAATAGAATAACTAAGAAGGAATAAATCTGAAAATTACAAAGGGTATTTATTATGCATTATATTTGAAACTGGTTAGGGATGCCTTTTATTGCCAAGTATGGGGCCCGGTCAGGCCAGCTGAGGTTCAGGTGGCTGCTGCTGGGTCCTGGCTTATCCTTGGGGCTCTGTCTGTCTGTCTCTCTTTTTTTTTTTTTTTTTTTTTTTTTT